TTTTTTTTTTTTTTTTTTTTTTTTTTTTTTAGCAATCATCCTCCTCCTTTCCAGGCAGTAAGAGGAAATCAGCCTCCAATAGGACCTAAATACCTCATTGTCACAAACAGACAGATCAACTAGACAAATAATCCACAAAGAAATATCATAACTAAACCAAACTTGTGAACAAATGGACTTAGATGTCTATAGAGTGTTCCACCCCAACATCAGAATACACATTCTTCTCAACTGCATAAGAGATGTCCTCCAAAATGGACTCCCTGCTAGCCCATAGAACATGGTTAAGTAAATGCAAAGAAATTGAAATTATTCCATGCATATTATCTGACCATAATGCAATGAATTGGAAATCAATGGCAAAAAACCTCAAAAAACTCCATAAACACATGGAAATTAGCTAACATCCTCCTGAACAACCAATGGGTCATTGATGAAATTAAAGAAGAAATTAAACAGTATCTACAAATAAACAATAATGCAGATACAACATACCACACCTAATGGAATGCAATGAAAACAGTCCTAAGAGGGTAATTTATATCAGTGAATTCTCACATCAGGAAAACAGAATAAGTTCAAATAAACAACCTAATGTTGGACCCCAAGCTTCTAGAAAAAGAAGAAGTCAAGTCCAAAGCTCATATGAGGGAGGAAATTGTTTTGTTTTTTGGTACTAGGGATTGAACTCGGGTCCTTACACTTGCAAGGCAGGTGGAGGAACCAATGAGCTAAATCCCCAGCCCTGAGGGAGGAAATTGTAAAGATCAGAAATTAATACAATTGAGATTAAGAAAACAATAAAAAGAATCAATGAATCAAAGAGTTGGTTCTTTGAAAGATTAAATAAAATTGACAAAACCTTGCCAACATTATCAAAAAAAAAAAAAAGAGGAAAGACTCAAATCCATGAAATTAGGAATGAAAAGGGTGAAATCACAATGGATTTGGTGGAAATCCAGATCACCACTACCTACTTTGAATACCTGTACTCTAATAAGATGAAAAACACAGAAGAAATAAATGGATTTCTAGATTCATATGGATGACCAAACCTGAAGCAAGAAGGTATAAAAATTCTACATAACCCAATATCAGTCAATGAAACTGAAGATGTAATTAATAACTTACCAACAAAGAAAAGCCAAGGTCCTGAAGGTTTCACTGCTGAATTCTACAAGAAATTTACAGGTCTAATGATACTGCTCTTCAAACTATTTAATGAAACAGAAAGGGAAGCAATACTGCCAAAATTATTCCTAGAAGCAAGTATCACCCTGATACAAAAACCAGAGGAGCCAACCAAAAAAGAAATGCATGCCAATCTCTTTAATGAACATAGATGCAGAAATCCTCAATAAGTTGCTGGCAAACAGAATGCAGCAAATTATCAAGAAGATAATAAACCGTGACCAAGTAGGATTCATCCCAGGGATGCATATTGAGGATATACTCCTAAGTGAAATAAATAAGTCACACATGTATAAATACCAAATAGTTTCTCTGATGCGAAAAACTATAATGGTACATAAGATCCTAACGATATAACTGACAATGTGAAATAGGAAGAAAAGGGCTAAAGGTGTAAGGGAAGTGGGAAGGGTAGGGGAAAGGTAATAAGGGAAAAGGGAAAAAAACATGAGAACATGAAAAAATGGAAATAAAGTATTTGTAAATAGGGAAGGGAGGAGGGGGTGAAGGGAGGGCAGGGATAAGGGGAAAAAATGAGAACCAAGACCTGTCACGTAAAGGTACAAGATCCCAATGATGAATGTAATTGTACTGTGTACCTAAAATGTACCAATAAACTCAATGAGGAAAAAAAAAGTGCTCAGACATTATTACTTTCATCTTCCTCCCTCCTTCCCTTCCTTCCTGTCTCTCTCCCCAACCCCAACTCTATCAGGGAGTTCTACTGGGACCCCATGGCAGGCAAGGACAGAACCGAAGACTACTTTCTGCTGAATTCACATGGCAGAAGGAAGAGGCAGGCGTGTAGAGAAAGGGAGAGGGGAAAGTGCAGCATAGTTTCCTATCCTGCCAAGCCACAGAGTTGGGAGGCAGCTCCAGAGCACAGGTGAGCAGAACCCTTAGGACCCTATGTCAGAAGGTTGCGGGGCCCAGCTGCTGACAAGTGCCCTGAGCTGGGGAGGATGCCTTGGTTGCACCTTGGCGTGGATTCCTCTACTTCCCTGGTATCCTGAGCACTGGGGATTATGGGCAACACTGGGGACAGGGGACTAGGGGTGGTGTCCTTAGTTAGACACCAGCTGATGGAACAGAATAGGAGAGGTGTGCCACTGTGGCGACAGGGATCAGAGACTAAGGAGAGTGGGAAGAAGGCGTGGGCTACCGTCTCCATTACTACACAGGGGCTTGGGCACAAGGGTGTCCCAGTTACTGCTAGGAACCTCGCATGACCCCCCTTCTGGGGACACTGTCCCTACACCACCCTCCGGGTCTTTCTGTCAACCTTGGTCCAAAATGTAAAAGCTTATTTCCCAAGGTCATTGTGACACAGTCACTTTTCCTCCTCAACCACTAGATGCTGCTCTAGAACCACATAGGACACCCCGTTGCTAAATCCACCAAGCTGGTGTAGAGACGGGGGTGTAGTACAGTAAATCCTGTTTCCCACTGTATGTCTGGAAGTTTTAGAGTTTACCAGGCTCTGACATCATGGCAATGACAGTGACTACAGCAGTTGTTTGAACTTTTCCCTGACACTTGTCACAGGTTAGCTCCTGCAAACTCTTCAGACCCTGTAACGTAAGTTCTCAACCCACACATAAGAAAATTGAGTCTCAGAAAGGTGCTGTGATCTGCACACACCTGGACCAGCTGTGAGTCCACAAAGAATTTCCATCTACATCCAAATGCCAGAGACAAAATATTGTCCTTGTTACCCACCTTATTTATTTATTTATTTATTTATTTATTTTGATACTAAGAATTGAGCCCAGGGTCCTTGCACTGAGCTACATACCCAGCTCTTTTGAAGCCAGGCATAGTGGTGCAAACCTGTGATCCCAACACTCAAGAGGCTGAGTCAGGAGGATCACTGTGAGTTTGAGGCCAGCCTGGACCACATAATGTGATTCTATCTTAAAGACAAAAATGTTCATTTTTTTTTTTTTTTTTTTTTTTTCCAAGACAAGCTAGGTTCCTGAGTTGCCCAGCCTGGGTTTGAACTTGTAATCCTCCTGCCTCAGCTTCCCAGAGTGCTGGGATTACAGGTGTGTGCCATAACACTTGGCCAGAAGTTGCTGTTTATTAAGCTCCTCCTATATAAACTTCGTGTAGTCTTTTTTTTTTTTTTTTTTTTTTTTGGTACCAGGGATTGAACTCGGGTCCTTGCACTTTTGAGGCAGGCAGTGGAACCACTGAGCTAAATCCCCAAAAGGAGAGGAAGGAAGGGCACAAAAGCCTACAGCACCTGGTATTCCTAGGCGGTCTCCCATCCAAGTACTAAACAGGCCCAACCCTGCTTAGCTTCTGAGATCAGACGAGATCAGGTGTGTTCAGGGTGGTATGGCCATAGACTATGTAGTCTTTTAAGGTAAGATTCACTTATTTTGTAAAGTCTCCAATTATTACTTATTTATTGATTTTGTGGTACTGGGGATCAAACTCAAGACCTTCCTCTTGCAAGACAGGAGTGGTGCCACTGAGATAAATCTCAGCCCTATTATTACTTGTTTTGACCAAATTTTACAATGTTTAGTTTTTAATCAGTAGAATAACCCTAAAACCCAAAAGCCTAATTTTTGGTGCTATTTAAAGTTTAGCTCTTTCTCTTTCTTAATGACAGCTTTTGGTATGATACAACTTTTTTGTCATAATCCTCACTGTTTGGTGCATTTATAGTCACGCATGCTACATTACCAAGTATATTCCAGTAGTGTATGTAACCAGAAGAAATCTGTTTACTCAGTACAAAATCAATTTTTTTCCAATTTAGCACTATGACTTGTTCATTAGGAAAAGCAGATCTTGTTCTTTAATCTTTTAGGCCTGAACATTAGGTGAAAGAGATATAGTATAGAAAATTTTAAATTTTTGGTTATTATGGAGAAGATAGCATTACTATCTTTGTTACTTCATAAAAGAAAGATCATTTTGACATTAAAAATGTAGGAGGGAGGGCTGGGGATTTAGCTCAGTGGTTCTGCAGCCTGCCTTGTAAGTGCAAGGACCTGAGTTTGATCCTGGTACTAAAAAAAAAAAGGAGGAGCGATATAAACAGAAAAAAATGATATCCTTTCCTAAGTAGGGACAGCTGATATCCATACATAAACATGTTTACTACAGATAAATTCTGACACTAGCTTAAGGACTCGAATATTATCTTTAACAGGGGCAATAAAAATATGGTTGATATTTAAACTTTCAAGAAGACTGCAGTAAAAGACAGATTGTCATCCGTCTCTGACGACATCCCCCCTCCCCAAACACGCTCACCCCACCACGCTGGCCGATTTGTGAAGCAGTTCTGGAAAATCCTCTTTCGTGAGTGAGTGTCTTCATGAGGTGTGATAAAACACACGATCACCAAGTGCCATCTAACGGAAAGGCAGGCTTGTAAACACAGCACAGTGTGTCCTTATCTACCTTGTCCACCAAAGCTGGCTCTGTGCCGCTCTCGGCCCCTTCTCCAAGTCAAGATGACCACGTAAGGTAAACATTTTGAATTAACTCACGCATTGAGGCAGTCGTGACAGTGTGGAGTA